TGGAAGGAAAGAACGAGATTTACATCAAGTTGTCTAAACTATAGAAATACTAGTATGAAATGTATAAATAGTTTTCTTTCAAGTTGTGTAAAAAGCAATGAAAAATGGCTCACTTTTATAGAAAAAAATTCAATCCCCATAATAATGAAAATTTAATTCATCCAAACATAACTTAAATCCTATTATTTAAGATTTTAATTTTGTATTAAATCTGAACGCTAGAATAAAGAAATTGAAAATTAACTTTAACTTTAATTTTGAAAGGTAAAACTTTTTATGTTACAACAATTTGATCCATATGTAAGACAAACATTTATATTTCTCTTTTACCTCCCGTTTGATATGATCTTTATTTTTTAATTTATTATTATTATTATTATTATTATTAATTTTTTTTTTTTTTTTTTTGGAATAGCTTCATGCAAAAATTATCTTAGGTCAGCTTTCTCTAAAATCTCTTCTAGTGAGACAAAAAATTTTCAAAAAATTATTCAAGCATTTTCAAAAGTAATTCTTTTTTTAATTTCAAAAATATATTTTAACTTTTCAAAACCCAGTTAAACGCCCACCTACGCTCTCACTATCCCCACTAGCGGTTAAGGATTTACATAAAAAAATTTAAAAAATAATAATAAAAGTGCAAAAAGTACAAAAATATTATTATTGTGGACGTGAACATACATAGACCCTGTTTGAGCCATATTTTTTCAAAAAAAATACATTTTTCAAAAGTGATTTGACATTATTTCAACCATTTATTCTTCAATAAAATAATATTACACGTAAATCTAAAAAATTTTCTTATTTTTTAGCCACACATTTTCCATCAATACACTATTAAAAACTGCATTTTCATTCCAATAACGTGGCTCAAACAAGTGCGTAATATACACTTTGAGATTTCATGCTTATTCAAATTTTACTATAATTTAACAGTAATCTAAAATAAAATTATTTACAAAGTAATTTTTGAAATTTTATCAAAAACCATGGAAAGGGCGCAATTTCCACTAGAATATTCACAAGACCTCATCCCGCCTAAAGTCGAACTTTGGTCCATATTTATATACCATTCTAAATAGTCGGCCCAAACTATGATGTTGATATTAGTGTGGGCTATTAAACAAATAAGTTCTGGCCCATTTATTCAAAGTCCTAACTAGCCTCATAATCAACTTTTTCAATATTATCAACTACTATTCAATCTACTTTTACCATAAGGAAATGTTTCACATTTGGTACATCGTATAGAAACTATATAAAAATAATATATAGGGATCAAGGAAAAATTGTTACTTTAAAGGATTTATTAATTTCTCGACAAATAAATAAATCATTAATTTGTCAGTAGATTTCATAAAGTCAATTCTAATCAATAATCCAAAAATGTGATGTATGTCAAACGACTCTTAAATTATCCTAGCTGACGAAGAGATTATTTAAAGGACTAGTAAATAATCTTACTTAAATGATCTCATCGAGGATGATCATGATTTAGATAATAATTTTATTTTACCAACGGTTTCTTCAAAAGAAGTCCTTCAAGCATCCAAACCTTAAATAATTATTTTCTATAAAATATAAAAATATATATCAAATCTGGAATACACATTGCATAAAATAAAGAACGGGCTTGAGTTCGTTTTGAGTACAGAGAAAGAGAAAGCAACTTTATAATATAAAAAAAAAATGAAGTATTCAATCAATTGTTATTTTATAATTTTCATTGGATCCTAAAGAATTTTAAATAAAATTATTATCTTATATATTTAGCGAGATTATTAATTCAACACATTGGCTTGAGTAAAAAAAATAAAAATAAATAATAAATAAATAAATAAATTTTATTATTTAAACAAGGTTGTTAATTTATCAAATATACTTGTATCCAGAAACGGAGCCAAAAACTTAAGTTACGAGGGGCACAAATTTAGAAATTTAATGTACAAAATACCTGCCTAGTGCTTACATAGTTTGTTGCCGACAACGTGAACGGATAATTAAATGAATTGTTAAGCTTGCTTCGATACTTTAAAAACAAACTAATCAAATGTCTGTAAACAAATTCGAATAGAAAATTCATTAAAAACTAAAAGTTCGCAACAGTCAAAAATCATAAATATAATGTATAAAACTATAAACATAACATAATAAAAAAATCATCAAACACATTGCACAGCAAAAAATTAGAACATCAGAATATGTTATAAATTTATAATTTAACCCTCAAAGTTTAAGAAACTCAATGAATGAAAAACGAACAAGTTATTTTGATATAATTATTAAAAAAGGACACAATTGCTAACCAATAATCGAAGAAAATGAGTTGCTAGTTGAAAATGTGGTTCGGAGTAAGTAGTTGCTGGCCGAACTGAAACTCTTCTTTATAGGTACTTCCTTATTTGCGGTCGATGGCTCTCTGGTCAGCTGGTAGCTAGGAAAAATAATAGACAGATTAGGCATTATGGTTATTCAAAGATTTGGGAATTGTTGTTTTTCAAATTTTGTAACTGAGTGGCGGGAATGGTGGAAGGAATGAAGAGGATAGTTGTTGTGTAATTGGGTAATGGTCTGTTGGATACTAAAACAAATCTTTTGGCCAAGTATAAAATAAGAAACTGATTTTACAAACTGTGATGGGTTGGTTAATGGTTGGTGGGCCAATGGACTAAATTTAAAATATTTCAACATTTTTTTAGGACTTTTAAAGGACATGTGCTTGGACATTACTGGGCTACGGCCCAGTAGTGTCCTCCCTTCAATTCGTCTCTACTTGTATCAATGTTTAATGCAAGTATTTTCATTTTTAAGTTAGTTTTTTTTTTTATAATTTATTTTTAACTCAAGAGCAAATTCGTTTAAGTAATTTTTTTTTTATTATAAGCAATTTTAACTTATACGAATTTTTATTTACATAATAAGCTATTATTTATTTATTTATTTTTACTTATGAATGAATTTCTACTGATTTTTCCACTCATAAGCATTTTTTTATTTATGAGTTTTCAACTAATTTTTCTTAATTCATAAAATAGTGAAAAGTTTGTATGATCTAAATTTACCTCGTACAACGTATTAATTTTATACGAATGACTTATAAATGATAAAACAACATAGCACCTAGCAACTAAATAGAATGTTTATCAATGTTTTAAAACCCATAACAGGGCTTTGATATGAAAAAGCAAAATGATCAAGGGTTACAGGATCAAAAGGAGTCAACTCGAGTAGTTGAAAAATAATAAATAAATATATTTTCAAACCATAAACTGTCTTAGATAATAGTGTAATATTGTTAATTGAAATATTTGAAGAGCTTCTAATGTTTTATTAATTAAAATAGAATAGGAATATAATTAATTAACCCAATAAAATAGATAATAAAAAAATCAACGTATGAGTGAGAGAGTTGTAATTAGAGAACAAATGGGGTTGCTTTTTCAATGTCTCTTACCCATGTTGGTTTCTCACAAGAAAAGCACTGAAAATTTAGTCTATAAATGGGTGGAGGATGAGTGAGAGAGTTGTAATCAGAAATTACCAATTAGAGAACAAATGTCGCTCTTTCAATGTTTTCCATCCCACATCGGTTTCTCCCAAGAAAGTTATTGGAAATTCATTGGTCCGCCAATAGTTTGGTGAACATCCTATATAGGCCTTCTAATGAAGTGGGCTGAAAGTTGATAAATTTATTTAGATTTTAAAAATCCGACGAATAGGAGAAAGGGAAAAAATTACGTTTCAGGGGTCCCATATATATATATATATATATATATATATATATATATATATATATATATATATATATATATAGAGAGAGAGAGAGAGAGAGAGAGAGAGAGGGGGGGGGAGATTCTGTTACATCTGTTTTCTACAATTAAGCTCGCTTACCATATATAATAGGACTACAAATGCTAAAAATTCTTGACCAAAATTCAAAAAAATCTGCCGGATTTCATTATGCATGGCAACTAAATTGATGTTGCCGATTGATTTTACTAAAAATTAGTCGATTTCATTCCTCTATCGGGTCACAGAGATCGGTGTCGATTCCATAAAAAAGAAATAATTGCCGGATAAGCCAATCCAAGTAATAATATGAATGTTATGTTCGTCGATTCAAATGTTACATTCCGAACACGAATTGGTCCTAAAATCACCGTTGCAGGGGATGATAAATCATTGCTGGCCACGGAAGTGCTGATCGTCCCTGGCTAATATAATACAAGTAATCGTGTATTTTGCTGCGATCACAACTTGAAATCAATAATCATGAATGTCGTTCGTCAAGGAATTAGTATAATATCTAACTTATGGGTCACAGGTGCTCTTATTGTCGTTAGCTGGTTTCTCGTCACAGGTTGCTATTTAGTAGAATCGCAGTAGATGCCTGCGACACGTACGTGATTGTTTGTGTGAATGTTACCTGATCTGTGAAATTGTAACCTTTCTACTGTGAAATGTGCAGTGTTTCAACAACTATGTTCATGTATTTAGTATCAAATATGTCGTTATTCACTTCTAGCATGTGTGGCCACTGTGTAACAATGTAGGAAAAGTCATATGTGACCTGATTTGTAGCTCTGTAACCCTAATAGGTAATGCGTGACCTGCTTTGTGAAACTGTGACTTGATTTGTGAAACTGTAACCTATATGATGTGAGATGTTTCGCCCACTATCTGTCGAGAATGTAAAATTATACATTTTTTCATTCGTTTCGAGCATATGTGACCCTCCCTGTCAACTCTGTAGTCTAAATGATACCAATCTGTGACCCGACTTGTGATAGTTTTATTCATAACTATTTGTAACCTAGTTTGCTAATTTGTGACATCATTGCTGTGCAGTGTGACATGTGACATATTTCACCTATGATGAAATTATTGATATTAACTGTAATTTGCAGAATGGTGTACTTGTACGTATGTTTACTATATGGATTGCAATCCTCATTGGCATTGGTAGCTCGCAACTGTAGTTATTTAACCCTTGTCCAGTTATGACAGAATTTGCTCTGGATCTTACGAAGGTAGCGGTATCATTGAAGTACATACTGAAGGAAGATTTCCCTCCCATCAGGATAAAACATGACAATAATGTGCTATCATACATTCTACTAAAAGACATGGAGCGTGAACCTATTAAATATCCGATAATCGTTGATGTTGCTGAGACAGAAATAGATAATACGTCCATCACAGTGCCAATCAATGCACATTTCAGTGGTGAGATTTTTACATTGCAAGACATGGCATCAGACATATGCGAAGCATCAAATGAAAAAAATGGATCACATTTGTGACACTGAAGTCACAGTTGTATATATCGCGGATGCTAGAGAGGTAGAAGAAGGAAGGATGTTCTGTGATAATGATGTTTTGAAAATGAGGCTGTCGTTTTTTGCCATACAGAACATGTTTGAGTTTATGGTTGAACAGTCCGACAAGAGAGAATATGTTGTGAGGTGTTCGAATGGTGGAAGTAGTTGGATATGTAGATCGTCGATATAGGGTAAAACAGATCTATTTAAGATTCGAAAGATTGGTAGTCACACTTGTGCATCAAATGTAGTATTGGGATCTCATAGGCAAGTGTCATCTAAGGTTGTTTCATCTACAATTAAGTACAAGTACACATCGTCCCGTATTATATATACACCAAAGGACATATACAATGACATGTTGAATACTTATGGGGTTTATTTGGGTTATTCGAAAGCTTTGAGATCTCGCGAGCAAACTTTGAAAATGATTAGAGGTGATCCAGCCCAGTCATTTGGTAAGTTATCAAGTTTCTTCTACATGCTCCGACAGAAAAATTCTGGTACGGTCACAGAAATAGAGGTTGATAGTCACAGTAAGTTCAGATATTGCTTTATGACACCAGGTGCATCAATATGGGGATGAGAACATTGTAGACCGGTGATTGTTGTTGATGGTACATACTTGAATGGTAAATATAAAGGTACCATTTTCACAGCATGTACACAAGATGCAAATAATAGCATATTCGTTCTTGCTTTTGGAATTGGAGATAATGAGAACGACAAATCTTGGAAATGGTTTTTCGATAATTTGAAGAAGGCGTATGGAAACAAAGAAGGGCTGTGTTTTGTATCGGACCGTCACCCAAGTATAAAGAATGCGATAGAACATGTGTATTCGGAAGCCTGTCACAATATTTGTTCTTATCATTTGCTGCAAAATCTAAAATCATATTATGGAAAGTCAGGCCAAAACATTACACAAGCATTCAATTCGACTGTTCGTGCTTACACACTTGAAGAATATGATTATAACATATCTCTGCCGACAACGATGAATGAGAAGATTATTTCATACCTGGTAGTGTACTACGTCTTATTTCATTTCACATACATATAAATGGTCACAGATGGTATTTATATGATGTTCATTGAATTGATTTATGTTTGCAGGCTCATTTTGGACCTGAAAAGTGGTCAAGAATACATATGCCAACAAACAGATAATCTACAATGACATCAAACATTGTGGAATCGGTCAACGCGATCACAAAGGCAACCAAAAGTTACCCTATTGTATCGTTGCTAGAGTCGTTACGGCAAACCATACAATCGTGGTTTTGTAGACACGGGGATGATGCGTATGGAACTTTCACAAAGTTGTCGAGCAAGTACGAGAAATAGATTAGGAAAATGAGCATTGCTTTGAGGAACTTGAGGGTAATTTTCTATATTTTAACATTCAGATGTATATGTGACCTATCGTAAGTGTCAATATCTTGAACTGTAATGTAACAAATCTGATATGTGACCTGTTTTGTGATTTTGTGACCTGGTTGGTAAACTAAGTTTGAGGATCTGAATTCTATTTCATAGCTATCTGTAAATGGAACAAATTTGTGTAACATGATATCTAAATTTGTGACCTATGTGATGTGGTATGTGATGTAACTCTGTATTCTCTGTCAACTCTATATTCTGATACATGTCTATCGCCAAGTGAGGTCTGAACTACATGTGTAACATGTTTCCTGAATCTGTAAATGAACTCAAGGATATGAGTCATCCATGTGTGACCGACACGAAGTATATGTGACCTGTATACAACTATATGTGACTTGACTGTTATTACATGTACGTAGGTATCTCCTTCAAACTAGACAATATTTTCTGTCAGCAACGAAAGATCGACGTTTGTCGTCAATATTGAGCAACGAACGTGCACTTGCAAGATTCTACAAGTTGATTTGTTACCATGTCCACACGCTTTGGCTGTAATTGCAAACACAAGAAAAGATCCATATGATTATTGTTCTTATTATTACACAAAAGATGCGTACTTGAATGCTACCAAGATTCTGTATATCCCGTTGGAAATCAAGAGGAATGGACAGTGCCGAAAGAAATACAGCGAGAAATAGTGTTAACTCCTAACCAGAAGAGAAGTTGTGAAAGACCTACGGAGAAAAGAAAGAGATCATCCAGAGAAGGGAGATCGACGGCAAAATGCAGACGTTGTGGAGGATAGGGTCACAACCGTAGGAGATGCGTCAGCTTGACTCCGTTACACTAAAATGATCGATAGAATTACATACAAATATTTTATAGATAGGTGATATTCTTTTAAGGATAATATTCATTGAAAATAGTCTTTTTAAAGAATGCATTGAGATTGATCAACTAACAGTTAATTGTCTGTCAACTTTGGAATCAGAATAATAATTCTATGAGATTTGGACCACATTTGTAACCTAAAATCAGATCTGCAACTTGTGTGCTGTGACCTGTGATGTGTGACATGCCGTATGAAAAAGTTAACTGATTTGTGAATATGTAACCTGAAATGAGAATATGTGACCTGAGGTGTGGACATATACGGGTAAAATGAATCCTAATGTCTGTAACCCATGTGCTGTGACATGTCACGTGTCATATGAAAGGTATGTATGACGTGATATGTAAATCTGTGACCAAGTAAAGAAACCAACTATGACCTGTCTGTTGTACCACATGACATATTTCACCGACTACGTGACGCTGTTAGAAATAAAAAAAAACCTATATAGATTACACCATATATATAAAAATATCATTAAAATGTAATCGAAGATGGATAAATCATGAACGTAAACACTTTAATATCCTTTATTTCAAATCAAATGTTACGAGTTATTGTTCATTACATGAACCTCTATTGACCAGACACATGCAATGTTCATAATATTTACAAACTAAATCCTTCTCCTCATAAACAAATCTAAAGCCAGTTTTCATTCTAGAGCAAGTGCTTTCTCCGTCATAGGCTGATTCACTCTCTTCGTGCAAACTTGTCGGTGTTTGTAGAGCAGCGTACCAATATCCATTCTGAACTTGCTGACATCAAACTTCTTAGGAATGGAACATCTACCACCACAGATAAGATACAACGCATACAACACCACGAATATCCCGCAATCATGACTGCAGAACATGTGACAGACGGTTATGAATGAATCCATCAAAAGGATCACAGACTTACCCATTTGTTTGTTGAGGGAGTGTGTCGTCGATGATCACCTTCAGTTCTTTGGCTTCTGGTTCGTGATAATCAGGATCCTTCTTTGAAATTCCAAGGGTATTCATTAGAGTAGGCAATACCTTACGTACGACTTAATACCTTGCAAAACCTTCCAGTCACGGTAAGATTTACCTGTCGAGTTGAACACGGTCAAGGTATGACTTCTGAATTGTAATAGGCCAAGCATCCAATGTGCTTTGTTGGTGGGTATGATCGGCATGAACACATAGTCAACTTCGACCCACCGTGAGATAAAAGGGAGGTTGTGACCTGTTACAACCTCAAGCAGGCTCGACTCTAACATCAGAACATTTGGGTCCTTCATGAAGGCAGGAAAAATATCTTTTATTTTAATCTGGGACCATGAGTTTGTGGTGTTGGCCTTGTCTTGCTACCTGGCGAATGAAGTAGAAGCAGGCATCCATGTGTTGTTTCAATGAGAAGAAAAAATGTAAGCATTGCATACAACAGATTGGATACGAATGATTCTGTGACTAGTTCCAATATGAAATGTGACATATTTGTATCATCTCTGATACTCTTCTTAACGGGTATAAAAGAAATCAAAATTTTAAATAGAGTAATGTAACTTAATTGAATGTGTAAACGTAACTGTACCGCACCACTCAGTGATGACTCCGAATTTATAAGTTCGTGGAACCAAGTCTTATGACCTACTGGGAATGAACCAATTAGAAAAGCAGGCGTGATCGCGTCGTCTTCCTCGCTAAACTTTTTCCTATGACCGACACTAAATGTTACATTCTTTTGTCAAAACTGTGTATTGAGTAACTTTTCACAAATAGGTACGAAATTCACTTACTTGTTTTTTGGTTTGTACCCTCTCTGGAACCAACCCACGAAGGCCGATTTGTTAACCTCGTCAACATTGTCTTTGTAGTCCTCAAAAACGACAACATTATCATTGTGCTTGAATAATTTCCCCCTCTCCTGCCCGGCAATGAAGAAGACTGCAATACCCTCGTTGGCCTTGAAACCCGCTTAACTGGTAATTCCGAGGTTGGTTCAACAGTAGGTGATCCCTGTATGTTATTACAGTAGGTTACAAATTGATTGAAAATACGGCACATGAGTTGTCTGTAGCATAGTTTGTAAGCGTGTTTGGTCTGTCACCTATACATGTGATCTGGTCTGAATGTGTCTGTGACCTGTAACATATAATTGGAAGATAGTTTGGAAGGGTGTGTGGCATGTGACCCATTAATAAAACATGATTTGGACTGTATGTTATCTGTGATCTATGAATAGGACATGGGCTGAAGAAATCTGTGATCTGTTACTTGAGAATGTGACATGGTTTGGAACTGTGTCTGTGACCTGTGACCTATGAATGAGACATGGTTTGAAGGTATCTGTGCTCTGTGATCCATGACTGGAACATCTGCTGGTATTGTGTGTGATCTGTGACCTATGAAAGGGACATGGTTTGGAATGTTTGTGAAATGTAACCTATGAATAGGATATGATCTGAAGTATGTGTGATCTGTGACCTAATAATATAACATGGTTTGGAGGTATGTGTGATTTGAGATCTACAACTACTGGAACATGTAAATACCTCATTCTCTACTGTCTTTGTTGTGGTCACCATATTAGATATGATGGAATCTACCATCTTCTGAGTTTCCTCCAAATGCAAAACATTGGGTGGGGTGAATTCAATCCCAAAATCAAATGATAGTGGCCCAAGGGAGAAGAGAAGACCATCACTTGGATCTATTTTGCCCTTCCCTTTTCTGTCGACGTTTGATACTACGTTTTCCACCTACATGTTGAATGAAAAATGTCAAAATGAACTATATTATTTTATAGAAATGTGAAATATATCAAGTGACTACCTCCTAAGCCTTTTCAGATCCACCAGCCCCATGATGTTCTTGATCTCCAATTCCAAGAGCTTCTTTTTGTCCTACTCCACGCTCGCTTGTCCTATCACCAGACCGTCTAATGATCTCGTCCATTGCACTGGATATCATTATTGACACAGACTCAGATAGAAACAGCATGTTCGTCCGAATATCCATTAGGTCACTTTTAATACAGGCTTACATTTGAATAATGTCATCCATTTTGTTAGTCTTCCCTTCGTTCAAAGATGACATATGTGATTTGATGTCTTCAAACTCCGCCTTCAACACTTTATTATCCGCCTGGAGTTCAAATACTTGCACACGCAACATCTCAAAAGCCTGACAAAAATGAATAATTGATTATTATATGTTGCTTCCGAAATATCTTTGACCAACCATCAACATACAATGCACACTGGTATATCAGTAACCTGATGTGTATGAAATGTGACATAGGAAATATTGATGTGTGACCAATAATGGAAATATTGAGAGTTGACTAACATAACAACTTACGTCATCTCGTTGTGCCCCATGAGATTGTGGCTCTTCTTGAGAATGATAAGCGATTGTTGGACCTTCAACAACAGGGGATTTTCCACGGACGGATGGCTCCTACCGTCTTGGAAGAGGAGCAACAAAATTGCCGTCATCATCTGAATAGTGAGCTTGTCAAATATTACTGTCCATCAACGGTAGGATTGATGGAATGGACTTTCTACTTGTACCGGCATCTTCAACAGACCTCTCCGTCCTGCGCTTGGTTCTTCTTCGACTCTGGGATGAGGACGTCGGCTGGATTGGCTTGTTGTACTGGACTCCGTTCATGTATGGCATTGCCATTTCACTTTCCAATGATTCCAAATCACAAATCACAATCTGCAATACAATATGTAGTTTATATGAATGCAAAGTAAAAAATTCGATATTGATTACATGATGCTTACTGGAACTTTACCTTAGGATTGGAGAAGTAGTCGAGTCCTTCTAATTTGGCAGCTGATGGTTGCTCATCTGCCATCCAGTTTATAATGCGGAGATGCACCCTCGATATCCTTGTGACCACGATGCCATCAAGACTGGGAAAAGTCTCGCATAACCATGCTTGGAAGGCTACAAGCATTCCTCGTAGCCTGTAGTGTGGGGTCCTCCTGCTGAGTCCATCTCTCAATACACCCAGAGTAATTTGGAATAGTAGCTTGCCCCATGGAAAAACTGTTCATTTCATTAAAGTCCTCGACGAGAACAAATAGGAAGTAGTCGACAATCTTCTTGTAATCATGGGGAAAGAGATAGGCAGTTAGGAAATATAAAACCCCAAACATTGCAACGTCATTGTCTGGTAGGGCTTCAACCAAATCGAGGTCAGGCATTTGGCATGCAGACAAAAATGTGTCCTTCACATCTTCATGTGTGACAGCATGTACTTGTGAAAAGTATTTGTCCTTCAAGTTTGATAGCCTATTTTCAAAAACCTGAGTATCTATATCGCCTGAATATCTCAGTCCTGTGACCAAACAGAACTCAAATACAGAGAACCTAACGTATCGCCCGAAAACGTACAATCATATTTCTTCCTCATTCGGGTGTCGAACCTACCTCAAAAGGAAGTAGTGAATCAGCTGTGGTTAAATCACTATTTCATGGCAATACAGGAAGTGGGCAAAGCATGTGCCCCTCAATATCTATTTTTTGCTTTGGCTTAACTTTGATTGTATAGTGGTAAGAACACCCTTGTACACAGAGGTGGTAATCTTGCCAGGAAACCAACTTTTTTCAGGTATTTTGAATTGCCATACCTACATAAAGCGTTAATAATTATAAAATTGTTAAGTACCTGTATTGTAATTCAGAGACAGAGAAAAAGAAATACATTTAGGTGAAATGGTCACATATAGGTTAAATTCAGGTCACATATATGTGAAATGGTCACATATGGACATCATATTACTAAAGCACATCATCAGCCATGTTAATAGTCAGCTCACAAGCATACAAAGTCTTCTCATTCTCAGGCATATTACTAGACATATATTTTTCATTCGTTTTTAACTTTAGTTTGGCCTTCAACCATTAGAGCCACAACTGTGATGGAAAGTAGTAGCTGTACATGTGAGTGTCTTTACATTAAGAATACTTGGTCACAAATAGGTGAAATGGTCACACGTGGACATCATATTACTAAAGACACATCATCAACCATGTTAACAGTCAGGTCACAGGCATACAAAATCTTTACAGTCAAGTCACATATTCACAACAAACTTCAGTCTCATTCACATATTAAGATCACATTTAGAGCCATATCCCCATTACAGTAAGGTCATAGACAATCATATCCATAAGCATTTACGTCACAAATTCCCAATATATGCGTATTCGTGAATAGACAACAGATTATTCATAACATCGAAAACGAAAAATCAAATGAACAAACATTATGCGTTCAAAATCACAAACCCTACCCCATTCGAACGACGGAACGAATTCAACAGATTTCAAGGTTACAGATCTTCAATACGTCTTCAATACATGTTACCCAACGATTATTCAATTAACACCCGTCACTTAATGTATTAACAGAGCATAAAAATCAACATACCATGTTCGATTGAACTTTCCGCAAGGTCACAGACGACGCCGCATACTTTTCGATATGGGATTTCGTTGGAATTTCCTCATGCTTCCTCTTTCCTCTTCTTTCTGGCATGGAATGGACGTTTATCGCCTTGTGTTTAGTCATTTTTTTGTCGATCGTAAAATGGAAAGTTTTTTGACAGAGTGACGGGGTAGACGAAGAATGTACTCAGTTCGCTTTGGGTATGTAACGAAGATTAGTTTCTAAACAGGGGATAACTTACCGGAGATATTCATGGAGTTGGTAACTGCTGGAATAGCTTATCAGAAATCGTGGAGAGAAGTTTGGAGGCAGTTTCACTGATTTGATAAAGAATGGAGAAAGATTATATTTGAAGCACGTTAACTACGAGACCGTGCTTATTTTAAATAAGTCGTTTTTATTTAATTAGTCTAATGCCGGACATTTGATTAGAATAGTTGAGCCCATGATTTATGCACAGTGAACTTGAAATCCCTGGAAGGGTGTAATTTTCTCTAGGAGAAATCTGTTCCGGGTCCTCTGGTTAGTGAATATATTGGCCAATTGACTAGTCTCTTTTAAGGATTTTAAATTAAGTGGAACTTGATTTTTTCCATTGAACCAATCGATTCGATTCGATTTTAATAACATTGGTATTTATTGTGTCAATGCGGGCAAGGATTAAATAAGATAAAATAATTCTTATTCAATTTAATACTACTTTTTTTTAGTGTTGTCAAATTTATTTGATCAACATATCAAATATACAATATTATAAGCTTATAGATAATTTCAATTAGATAAGAAAAAGTCTACTATTATTTTAACATATCATAAGCTTTGGTTTAACCAAACGTTAATTGGAGTGTGTTTCTACTTCAAGTGTAAACTTGAAACTAATCTTTCACGATTCAATATAATTATGAAATCATACCATATTTCAATGTCAATATTTTTACCCGATAAAAAGACTGACATATCCTCCACTTAATATTTGAGAATTTATTTTTACTAAATAATCAATCCCAAAATCTTTACTATTCCATGAATAATAGGTCACACAAGATCCAATAATCTTATGTAAACCTAAAATATATTTAAAGAAACAAAAATAACCAAAGTGGTACGATATTTAGCCCTTGTTTGAGCCTCATTTTGATGGAAAAAATGAATTTTTGAATAGGGTATTGATGTTAAATGTGTGGTTAAAAAATAATGAAAGGTTTTAAATTTGCGTGTGATATTATTTTATTAAAGAATGTGTGGTTGAAATTATGTCAAAACACTGTTGAAAAATTCATTTTCTCCCAAGAATGAGGATCAAACAAGAGTTTAAAGTTTAATGGGAAAAGAACAAGTGTGAAAAAAGTGTAGGGTCGGACCAATCTTTGATTTCCAGTGCTTAGAGAACCATCTATTCTACCTTTTAGAATTGCCAGCTATTATCTTTCTATATGAGAAAAAATAAATAAAATTCAATTAATTGGATACAAATTAACCAACACTGAACCATTGAATCAATCAATTTGCAAGTGTCCAAACTCATTTTCTTAGTGACTTCCTCTTTTCAAGATCCCATAAATTTTTTACTATATCAATTTAATAATTTATAATTAAATTTTTTTTGTTGTATTATCAAAATGTGTTGGGTTATTGGGATGGTCAAACATGTATTTCTTTATTTGCATCTTTTATAACCTACTCTTTAATGATCTTAAAGTCGTGATAATTGAGAAATCCCAAACAATTGTAAGATTCTCGTTGGACAGTCATCACCAAGGACGAAAGCTACAACTAAAGTATTAAGCCCATGTTTGGTCTAAATTTTTAAAAATTTGTTTTTTTATCAAAATCAATTTTAACCACACATTTTAAGGGATCCACAATTTTTATCGACTATTCAATCACACATTTATCACTTTTTATCAAAATCGAAAGGGACTAAATGTGTTGTAAAGGATAATATCCGTACTTATACCAATAGTCATTGCCCAATTTTAATTATATTATGGTTTTATTAATTAAAGTGAATTTAATTGAAAGGGAAAGTTCTTATTAGAGCAGGCAAAATTGATAGAAGGCGCCGTGCCAGCAATTGCGGCACCTTGTCACCATCTTTAAGAAATAGTTTAATGGTTCTAAGTTGACTATGGACTTTGTTTATCCTGGCTCTGAATTTCGGGTTGTCTGTTGGCCCCATTTCATGGTCAAGATCTCTGAAATTAATTGATTGATCGGAAATGGTACAGATATTGACATAGTCATTTATTGTTTGAACAAAGCTCGAGTTTTAATCAACCATTTTCTCAGGATTTCAAACACAGAGATTTATTTACCTTGTTTTCAGGGAATAATAAATAAATTTCTTGATCCAATGAGCTTATGCCATTCGTGTGGAAAAAAATATTAATGCATTTTGTTGTTGTCGATATGAGATTTCACGTCAAATGAGTTCGAGCCCCTTTTTTACTTAATTAAAGAACTCTCTATGTTAAGGAATTAAGACAAATTAGCTCGACGTCTTGAGCAGTACCAATTCACGGAGGTCAAAATCAGACTACGGGAGACGTAATACGAAAATATCATCGTGACACAACACATTGAATATTCTCCATTTACATTAGTGATGTGCAAACCGACCAATCAAGAGGGTTACAAGACATCCTAGAGTACGAGCCTAACCGTAATCATGATTCGTTGCAAAAACGAACTCATCAACCAACTGAATTTCATTGAATGGATGTACGAATTGCTAAGTAGAAATACTTCAGACTTATTTCAGCCCACTTGCCTATGTAATGGACGAAAGGTGGAGATGAAAGGAGGGATTCCACGTCTAACACGTTTGAAAAAAAATCCATCACAAAGGGTCCCATTCACTCCTATCTAGATTTGTGCCCACTTGCTTTGAAATTTACTACAGGGATTGAGTTTTGTCAATTTATTCTGCCTCAACCCCATTCCAAAAAAAAAAGGGTACCACATAATATGTGGACGAAATTTGAAGAGACATCAAATCAAAAGGCCTTGCTTATAATCAATCAAATCATATACAAAAATCAAATGATCCTATCTTTTTCCAGTCAACAAAATTGCTGCTTTCGTTCTTTCCAAATTACAAATGGAGGGGTATGGCCAAGGCAAGACTAGACAGGAGTGAAGTCATAACAGTAGCAATTGATACTCTTTCATTTTCAGGAAGAGCTAATGCTTATGTATTCTTTTCCAACATACAAATTCACCGCCGGCGCCGTCAAAATGGCATGATATGAGTAGTCTTAGTATCGTAACAAGAAAGAAAACAAGATTTGGATTTGTATCGAAAAATCTTAAGCAAATCGCTCGACATTTGCCTAACTGCACCCGAACAATTGCTCTGCATAAGCACCAAAATCTTGGCCATTCCATTGCTCTTTGTTACACATTCTTGTGCCTTTTTATCCCCAAATAAGCAACACAAACTCCACAATATTGTCACTGCGTGCTCAGTTGCCACGTTCGATACTTTCAAAACCTTCTTCACGATTGCCTCTACACAAATTTCATTCCTACAAATCTCCACTCTCCCTTCTTTACAAGTCGACACCATTTCAAGGAGTTTAAGCAATTTTTCCGTGGATGGAACGCTCAATTCTGATTCCGATAGAGCTTTTGCCAACACTCCTACGCCGCCATTGCGCACAATTTTAGCCCGGTTTTGCTTTGCCAATGCTAGACAGATTAAACAGGACAGTGAAGAATCCATGGCATCTGGATTATAATCCAAACTGGATATTAATCTTAGTAGCTCTGAGTATATTTGATCATCTTCTGATATCAAAATTTTCACTTCCAAATACAAATTGGATGTGATTTCGAGAAGTTTGGCAATTGCGATTCTTAACCCTGATCTCCCTTGTGAAAGTCCCATAATCATTGAAGATTTGAAATCTTTCCCACTATCAATTTTCGAAGTCGACGGGGAATTTGATAGTCGTTCTGCTGAATCAGTTTTTACTGGCTGTTGTAAGATTATATTACAAAACTGAACAAATTTCTCCAAAACCTCAAGATCTTTCACCAATTGTTTATTGCCCAGAGCTGCAATAAGCAATGGTAAAAGCCTAGCGCCAGCTGAGGCTAAGAACTTGCCGTTTTCTTCCACTTCCTTTGCGTATAAAATCAGCCTCGAAATTCTGGACGGGATTGTATGGACTTGGAAACTAGAATCCTTAACGATCTTCTGAAGCTCATTTTCAAGTTGGTTGATGAGTTGACGAACCTGGTCTTCAGTGAGCGAGCTGGGTTGATGTGTTGGCTGTACGTTTACAGGCCGAGTTCGGACCGAGTCAGACTCAGTCCAGATCTTGATAAGACGTTGTAGAGTATAGTTGGGGACAAGTTCTTTGGTCTGAAGCACTTGCATGGTGGCGGGACAGGTGTTGTTACCACCATCCAACCACCGCTGGATGCTAGTTCGGTCATACGTCACACCCGTGCACAGACTGACAGGGGATTTCATCACATCAAGAGAAATCGGGCACCTAAAATAACTAGGCACTGATATGTACAAATCGTTCCTCACCATCTTCACAATCAAACTATCAAACTCAGCGGTAGATTTCTAGAGAGAGAAAGGGAAGAACGAGTTTTAGAGAGAGAGAGAGAGAAGAAGGTAAAAAGTAGAGAGGTTGGGGGAGTGGTGGACGATGAATGTGATTGTTTTATTTTTATTATGAAGAGGGAGAAATGACGTAAGCAGCTTAGTTAATGGATTCCTTAGAGAGAGTTTGGTCAATGGTCAATGTGTTTTGGTTCAATGGCCAACTCACTTAGGTGTTGTATGTCCTTTACTCCCAACCATACAATAAAATTTAACCCCAACCCAACCCCACTAACCACGTCTATTATTTTTTCATATTTTTATTTTTGACCTTTTTTCCTTCGGGCATGCTGCACGTACAATTTCGATTGACAACTACACATATGGAAAGGGGCTTCACGATGAATAAAAAAATCGTAGACTCCCCTCTCGTGAGTAGGGTGTCAATCTTGATTATACAACTAATAAAATTCTTTTTCCTTAGGTTCTTTCATAGAGAAATAATAGATACGGAAGAATATAATTTTGTAAAATAATCCAGTATTCTCCACAATTTGTTGCAAGTTGAATATTGGGACTAATATTTTTTCCCATATTACACTTTTGTTGGAATATTATTATTTACGTCATGCGATGCTACTTTATTAAAATTGAGAATCTGTTGGTTCCGTTCCATTTCAGTTTCTCAATTCTAATAAAATGATTCAAATGAATAAACATATTCAATTTCATTCGAAATTTTTACTTTTTATTTTTTAACGATGGCCGGTGTAATGCACCGATATTGTACTTTTTTCTAAAGAACTTCACCATTGTACATCAGATGATCCATTAAATTTCGTAAATATAATTTTAGATTAATAAGAAGCTTGAGTTGTTTTTACGCATCCACAATATTAAGCAACAATTAAAGATTGAGCTTTTTATAATTAGATTTGGAATTTTAAATTATGCAATATCGGATTATTTTCGTATAAAGTTCCAAAATGCCTAGTTAAATAATTGAATCTTATAACAAAATTTGAAAATGAAAAGTATTTTAAATAAATTTTATTGGTCAACCATTATGGGCCCACGTTAGGCACAGCGGCTATGATTTTCGGTGATTGTACACGGAGGTAGTATTGGATTCTGTTTGAAACAGACGCGTATGATGGGGGAAAGAACGTGGACAAATGGGCCCATTTTTACCAGTGGAGTAAGATGTGGGCCCATGACATCATGGAATTATTGGGACACTCAAAGAGTAGACAACCTTTTTTTCTTTTTCATTTTTCTCTCTTCCTTGGGATAAATCACTTAAAAGTGTAGACCACTAATGGATTTTATATATTCTATTATCTCAATTAACAAAAAGGATTTTGCCGCTTGTACATAAAAAATGTACATGAGATAAAATGACGTGAAAAGAAAAGATTATATGTAAAAGTTGATTGTATTTTAAATTGACATATGATAACGTAAGATGTAATATTATATAGCTCATTATGCAAAATTCGATGTACATATAGCAAAGTTCTAACAAAAATAGTAACCCAAATTAAAAAAAAAATGTTGGAGCTATTGGCACTGTGTATAATTCATTTGTTGCTAACCCGAGGTCTCATGTCTCTGAGTAAGGGAGCTTTTTCGAAGAATCTTACACTCATGAACATACGACCTTACAACTACTACTAACGTTCCTGTTGAAGTTATGAAAGATCTGATATGGATGTCACTTACACTAGAATAAGTGGTTTAGTCATTCTTCCATCATTATGTTTTTTAAGGAATTTTTTTTTAATTTAGAATTGAAAATTATAATTTTCGTATGTGTTTTAATGTCAAATCAAAATTTATATTTATATTTACGTGTTATATGATTAGGAAAAATTCGTTTTCAGATCGAATTCAAATTTATAACTTTTTACTTGTTGCTTCGTTGATGCGAATCTCCAATTCTCATTAATTCCCTCCCTCCCAATTCGTCATCGTACTTTTCCAATATCCCCTGATTCCCTTATTTTGGTAGAGAGATTTTGAAGTGGAAGAGGGTAGGATTTTTATTTTTCGAACTTTTTGAATCTTTTTCTATGTTATTATTGGGTTAATAGAACAGTAAAACTTTAATCCAATTTTCAACTAAAATAACTCGTCGCATCTTCTATACTCTCTTTTGAAGTTTTAACCCTAAAACTCAAAATCAGTAGGAGAAATTTAAATGATATTTTCCCTCCATTTTTATTAATAATATATCTTTAAGAATTATGTAGCACTTGATACTAAAAAATAGAAAAAAATATCAAATGTGTTGCATAGTCATTATGAATGTTGATGGTTTTACTATAGTGGATAATGATGGATGTTCCTAAGTGATGCGATGTCTCTCTCACAATTATTCTAACTCATTGTAAAATACTGGACACATCACACTAATATCAATGAGGCACAAAAAATTTATAATAATAAAAATAAAAATACAAATTTCATTGCTCATTATTTGTTTTAATTCTTTTTCTAAACCAATTATGAGTACTCAAGGATTATAAGATCCGGATGTGAAAGATCAATATCGAGTATAACAATTTATAATTATTATTATTTTTTTTTATTTTACGAACCTTCTACAATATGTTGAGTCATAATAAATCAATCTACTTTGAACGTTATATATTAATAAATGGTAGAGATATTTGGTCACATGTAATGTACACATTAACGCTTATATTTGTGTTAAGATAGATTTTCAAATATAATGACTTGATGTGATGGATAACGATCATATTTTTTATTTTAATGAGTAAATAATGAAAAACAAAAAGGGGCTTAATGTGTATTAAGCATATATTTTGTGTAGCTTAAAAATTTGATAAAATTCCAAGTCAAAACTTTTATCAATATTTGTTCTATATATTTCATCGATTTAATCAAGATTTTATTAAAAAAAAATTAATTTTTAATACCAAACAGAATTCTACTGGATCGACCAAAAGTCCAAGTAGCATGTACCAGACGATTAATATTTCAAACTCGAAAATCCAAAAATTTCAAATCCATAGCTGCAGCCTATTACTTAGCTGAATAAGTTTACTATCATGTCTGGAGGAGCCTTTTAGAGCCCCCAAAACTTGGATAACTTAGGCTTCGTTTGGAAGCTATTTTTTTCAAAATGCATTTTTTTCTCTCTTCTTTTTAATTACACATTTTTTATTAAAATAATATTACACATAAATCAAAATTTTTTTCTTATTTCTCAACCACACATTTCACATCAATTTACTATTCTAAAATGTATTTTTACATAAAAATATCTATCAAACACCCCCTTAAATAATTAAAGAGCAATGCTATAGGAACAGATTCAAAACCAGGCTAAAAAATAAACCGGACAGGTGTCAATACACTATTGAAGAGTTTGAAAATTAAAAAAAAACAGCCAAAGACAGTCTGCTAGCTCATTCTATTTTTTCAGTCCCTGTCCCTCACCCTGTTCAAGTGGAATTGTCAATAATTAAATGCTAGCAAGTTTCCTTTTCTAACAGTGCTATACGACCCACGTGAATGACCTCAAATACACACATGGGGTCGAAATTATTTTATTCGTACGGAGTCCACGCATCCCATATGAGGGTGGTATATCTACAAGCAATAATTTATTTCGTCTTCGTAATGACAAATTGCCACGTTAATCGGGTTAACGATATTCGTGGTGTTGTCACCATTCGCGTTTTATCCTTTATATCATTGCAATAATATTTGCAGCATTAGTGAAACACAAGTAATTATTAAACTAAGTTTACCGCAACATTTGAGAAAGACTAAAGATCATACGTTATTTTTAAACGTTGAAGATAAACCTTGCCATTTGAATATAAGTTGAGGGCCATTTGTGTATATGTTTGAAATGGTATGTAATTAGAGAATTGTGTCAATTTTGAGCTCCGATTTTAGTGGGATCCATACTTCGATTATAATGGGACCAAACATATTTACATTGTACTTCTCAAGGAGATTAATGTGATATATTTATTTATCAAAAAGCATTTAGAATTGAATGAAATATTTAGCCCCCGTTTGGATCCCATTAAATTCTATTTCATTTTTTTTTCTCTTATTTTCAACCACATAATCTTCCATAAAATAATATTACACGTAAATCGAAAATTGTTCCTTCTTTTTCAATCAGTTATTTTTTTTTTTTAAAATACTATTCCAACCATTTTCATTTCAAAAAATGAAAGACAATAATGTCAAAGTAACCCACTTAAAATTATAAACTAGTAAAAAAAAATTGATTTATTGAAAATTGTTAAACATTTATCCCACATAAAAGAGTTAGAAAACTTTGATGTGATTCATATAGTGGAAGTTTCACAATTGAATTTGGGTAACAAGGGGTACCAATAATCTATGAAAGGAACCTATATCCTATTGGATTAGGTCCTAAATATGTGCGAGCCGCCGTCCGTCAGTTCAGCAAGTGTTCGTGTCCGAGTCCCAATTAGTGTTATGGCATGAATGGGCTCTTCGTACTATATTATCTTTTTTTAACAAAAATTATTTAAATTTTTAGGTCAAATTGGAACTAAACAAATTCTTGGGTGCTTAATGAAATTTATTTCTGATTGATGTATTTTCGGGTAGTTTTTTGGTTTGGGTTGTCTATTATCCGACGTCTGTTAATATACTTAACAAACATAGTGTTTCATTCTGAACAGTGCCATAAAGATTGTTCTGAAAAGGCTTGAAAGTTGTTCAAATAGCCAAGAAAGAATCTATAAATTGCCTGCCCTGCTGCAAGAAGAATTACCCAAATTTTATTGCAAACTTCTTTACTTTGAATCTCATTATCTCTCGTTTTGATACTGTTTCCAAAGTGAAAACATTTCATTGAGTTCATTAAACTTCTGTAGGTTGTTGTGCTGCTTTTTTTGGAGACGAAATTTGTTTTATCTTTAAATACAATTGTTGAACACATTTAACAACTTTAGAGACACCAAATTCATTTTAAGAAAATATCGTGAAGTTGGTGGGTTCGAATTAACATTCTGATCATGGTTCAAATTATATTATGATAATTCTGTCAGTATAATATATTTAGATTGTTCAAAGGAGGAATTTATGCTCCAGAAACA